GCCGAGGGGCTGCGCTCCGGCGGCCGGAATTTGGAGCCGGCGAGGTGGAGGTGGCGGGGGAGGAGGGGGAGAAACCTCGGTAGAACCTTGGAGGGAGGGTGGGAGGGAGGAGACCGAGGGGGAAGGTGATAAGGGGGACGGGAAAAAAATATCGGGGGTTAGGAGGGGGAGCGGGTGAGGTGGCCGTCGGATCGCGTCGGGCTCGCATCCGACGGCGAGAAGTTTGTGCCAAGTTCAAGACTGGAGTTGCGTAAACGTGGAGGGGCCTGGCGGCCGGGCGTGGATAAGGTTCCGGCCTTGGTAAGTTTCTGCTGGTTTATGAGTTGTGACAGTTCTATCCCAAAGTTCTTCGTGCAATGCCACGCGAATTCCGGGGCGGTTTGTATTTCCTTCCGATGCAATTTGGGAGTTTGAGTTGCATTTCCGAATCACGTCCATGTGACCACATGAGATGCCTTCACAGGAGGAGTGAGCCTTTGGTTGACACCTTCTGAGCACCGGCAAATTCGTCACGAATTCTAAAATGGAAAATCACATGCACGTCATGTGCTCACGAGCAAACTGCCTTTGTCAAAGGCAGATATGTAATGGAGACAAGGTGCTCCGCTTTTATTAGTTGGTTTTGGAGAAACTTATTATGATAAAGATTAAGTAGTCTTTTGTTTGCAAAATGTTGAAACCGGGAAAAAAAATCCGTGTGACTGGGTTATGCACATCATGATTGGGGGCATGTGGGGATTAAAGTTAATCATAGTACTGGCCCTTATTTAGAAACTCATAAAGGTTTAAGACAGGAGACTCTCCATCTCCTTTGCTGCTTGATTTGGCAGATGGTGCTCTGTCTACTATTTTAAATAATGCCAAAAGAGAGGTTTTTGTTAAAGGGGTCTTGACTGGAAATCTTAACATGGGGGTCAACATGCTGCAGTATGCAGATGCCAAAATTTTCTTGTTGCAGGATGATGAGGTGAGTGTCAGAAATCTGAAATTCATTCTTGGGGCATTTGAAAAAATGTCAAGGTTTTTAGCCTTCGTCTCGGTGGTGTGTCTAGCATCGCTGGTGGACATGTGGAGGTGTGTCTTCAGCGGATCTGTTCTTGGTGGTTTTGCTCAGATCTAGTCGTAGTTCGTCTACGCTTGTGTGCCTTCAGGTTAGATCCTTCCGATCTACGTTATTCTTCAAGGTCGTTCTACTCACTCCCCTGGTGGAAGTCTTTCTTTTGGTTTCTGTTTTCTTCACACTCCCCTGGTGGAAGTCTTTCTTTTGGTTCTGGTTTCTTCACACTCCCTTGATGGAAGTCTTTCTTTTTGGTTTCTGGTTTCTTCACACTCCCCTGGTGGAAGTCTTTCTTTTTGGTTTCTGGTTTCTTCACACTCCCCTGGTGGAAGTCTTTCTTTTGGTTCTGGTTTCTTCACACTCCCCT